CTAACCAAAATTATTCGGGAATCGAGGAGGCTTTTTCAAACCAAAAGATACGCCCCCATCAAGCATAAAGTTTGAAGAAGATGTAATTTTCTACGATATAAATACAAGAAAGAATATTTTTGTGTATGTTTTCTGTAAAATATATTTGAATTTATTAAGGTATTTTCGTAATAAGAGAATCTGACTCAGAGTGGGTAGAGATTAGTCAGCAGCATATATGCAATTCCTGTTAGATTGCGGTTCCTTAGCGAGGCCTCTCGAACGTACGCGGCTTCTGTACTGCCAATAGTAACTGGTTGCCTAGTCATGCTTCGAGTGACGATGAGACAGCATAGACGCCTTCGCTGAAAGTTCTGTGGGTGTTGGTCAGTGTGAGGCGTCGTTTTGTTTCTGTGTATGCGTGTTAGTACGTGACCTAAAGAGAAAAATTATGTCTTGAGCTAATAGGTCTGCACTTCCCGCATGCCGGTCACGTGCGTGGTTTTTTTATACCAAACAACCTCCACAATCAGAAGATATAATGAGTGGTCAGGACGGTAGGTCTGATTGTTTCCAGACGCGGTCTCGCCAACGCGACCTCTAAGGTTCCCACAGCTTCCAAATTATCCCGGGAGAGCCGCCTGTCCGTCCGTACTGTGAGAGGGTTCAGACATCAGCACACAGCGTCCTCTGGGTCTTAGCCAAGGGTAATGCCGCTCTTGCGTGACTATACGTGTCAGTGCATGATTTGATGAAAAAAGAGCATAATCTGTCTTCAGCTAATGGGTCTGAACCGGTCATGCGACTGTGCATTAGTTGTGTAGCCAGTCGGCACCGTCTGACCTATGTGCGCCATTAAATTAGCAAACAACAAGAGCGTACGGCCTGCATGCAGAATGCCTGTAATTGGCCCAATTATCCTAACCTCAGTTTTCAGAAAGACGTGGATGAGTAGTTCTGAAACTGGACTAGTCAAGCAGTGTCGGACTGCGATCTCAAGCTCAGAACAGTTCGTGTGGGAGCTGACCTGTTATTGCTGAAAGGTACAGGTGAGTTAGAATTTGTTATTTCCGAGTCCTTCTCCTTCTGCCCTACTCCTTGCTGTTAATCTTTCCGCGGCATACCTACTGCCAAGTAACCTGGACCGAAGCTCGTATTGTGGTTGGCTTTTGTTAGATTTTATAAACAGAGTATGTTTATGATCAACTCAGATAAGATTGGCTGAAATAAAATTCTCATTATGAATAGACTTCCATCGGTCAGGACTTGTCATGACTTTAAACCCGCAAAGTGGTCTGACTACAACCCTCCCGCCTTGTTTGGTATGGTTGGCTGAAAGTGGACTAAGTAGATAGCATTCTGAACCCCCATAAATAGTCTGAAGCAGATTACCCCGTCATATGCCCACTGCAGCAATACTGAAGTATTTGCTCATTTTCAGTTTAAGCACAGTCATTTACTCTGACAGCTACGTTCCGGCCAACCAGAGCGAATTTAAACCACGTGTCCACACGCCTGACACTAGGTTTCGCCGACGACCACTGCCGTCGAAATTGGATTCAGTTGCATGCAAGACAAACTAACTGCTTCAGAAAAGTTAATGCGGAAATGTATCAGGCGCAATTGCAGGAGGGATCCGTATGTCCGCACTCCGAAGACTATCTTGACGCAGATGTGAGAGGACGATGTGGATGCGTGTGCGTATGCGTGTGTGCATGCATATGGCCCCAACCGGGCCACGTGGTAGATGCGCTGGACAAACACGGGGACCATATCGGATTCTGGCGGGCGTTATCGGATTGCGCACCATAATAAGTGTCAACATTTCGGGGTGCAGTGGCGGACCCGGTTGCCGGCAGACGTCGCACACACTGGGACCCCTGCCGCCCCCCCCCCCCCCATTGTTGTTGGCCAAAACCTGGTCATTTGCTGTGTGGACCACGGGATGCGGAGTGGAGCACCAAGGTAGGGGCTCGACCGTGCCATCCACTTGCACCCTACCTCGCCTCCGGTCTTCTTAACTCTGCCTTGACACCGGGTTCAGGCTGAGGAGGAGGAGAGAGTGCCACATATGCTGTGCAAGTCTAAATTCACTATAAACTAAATCACGCACAAGTCACCGTCCTGCTGTAGAGCACACTGTGGACATCGTCGGCAATGACGATCAAACTGTCGGGTGCATGTATGCGCCGAGCCCTTCCACGAGCCTCAGTCTGTCTGAAAAGGCGACAAAGGTCAACAACAAGCTTGCAAACAGGTGAGGACTGCTTTTGACCTGGGCTAGATATATCGCCAGGACACGAATAATTAACGCCTTTAGGCAGCCAAATTCCGATTAATAGGGCCACATTTTGGTCAGCCAGTCTTGGCCCATTATCCGCATAAATGGGTATATACGTCTCTAGTCTCTTCGCGCCGAGTCCGTAACATAAAAGCGAAGGTACGAAATGGCCATTTAGAAAACACCAAAAATTCCTGTATTTGAATGACCAACTAGGTAATAATTTAGACCAAATACATTCCAACTCAATTTAACCGTATGCACCAGGAAAGGAGAGCAGTTAAGAAGAGGTTCTTTGGGAGAAAATTCTCGTGTGCGCTATGAAGTTTTCTCCACGGACTGAGGCTGAACAACATCATCCCTTTAATCCATGACATTTAGCTGTTCTGTTTAGACATGCCATTGTCATCACATTCATGATCGATTGAGGGGCCTCAGTGGATTATATAAAACTTCATCAATGATTTCATCCTGAAAACTCGCATGGGCATTACGACATGAAAGATTATCATGGATATATGAAAACATTTCGGCTGTTTTGAATCTATTCCCCTTTAATGTTTGTTGCATCCGGTATCTTTAAATCTGAATTCTCAAAACCACAGCGACAAAAGCAGATCGGCATTGTTTTACTGCTTATTTCTCGCCGATTATCGGCAACCAAATGCACTGCTTATAGAATCCTAACCTGCATATTGGACGCCTTCCGCGCATTAGGTTTCAGCTTTTGGATGACTTCCTTCCCTGCTGCGGGTGCACTACAGGTGTTGTACTGGTGTGTCGGGATTCCAAATGGGAGTTTTCCAAACAACCTGGGCGAGCGTGTGTGTGTGTGTCACATGATGGGGTGTAGGGGTGTCCAGCGGTGGGTTCAAGTGACGGTCGTGGTAGGTCGCTCACTTGCTTGCCGGTGTAGACTACGCCTAGCGTCCATTTGCTGGCACCCAACTCTCACTTGTGGCTCCCCGAAACTAGGCTGTCTCAGGCCAACTCGGGTCGTTCTTCCACTACAAAGTTGTGGCCCATTGTGGAATTCGGCAGCCGCCTATGACAACCGAGCAGCCCTACTTAGGGATTGCACTGCTCACCCCCGCGAGGGGGAAGGGGCTATAAACAGATTCTGAGGAACCACACCGTTTGCAGGCTGACCGTGGACGTATACGTAAAACACATGGTCGATGCACTCAAAATCGAAACAACACACACTCTCTTCTCCCTCCTCCTTCCCACCGCTTCACTCGCCAGACTGGTAGGGTGAGTCCGCTCACTCTGGTAACCTAGAATGTTCGATCCCTTTTAGACTATCCGAGGAGCAACCGACCGGAACGGAGGACGACGCTAGTGGCTCAGGAGCTGTCGCGCTACAAGGTGGACATTGCAGCACTCATCGAGACCCAGATCTCCGAACAAGGCCAACTGGAGGAGGTGGGTGCCGGCTACACCTTCTTTTGGAGCGGTCGCCCCAGGGCCGAGCGCTGGGACGCGGGCGTCGCCTTTGCCATCCGGAACGACATCGTGGGACCTCTAGCTTGTCTACCGCAGGGCATCAATGATCGTCTGATTAGCCTCCGCCTACCTCGCTGGGGAGACAAATTCGCCACCACCATCAACGCCTACGTTCCCCCGATGCCCAGCCTCGATACCGCAAGAGACACATTCTACGAGGACCCGCACACCCTCCTGTTGACTGTGTCGAAGGTGGATAAGTTGATTGTCCTTGGTGACTTCAACGCCCGTGTCGGCACGGACCATGCAGCTTGGAGTGGAGTGTTGGGTCCCAATAGTGTGGACGGCTCCAATGGCAATGGCCTGTTCCTCCTACGAACCTGTACAGAACACCGACTCATCCTGATGCCACCTGGATGCACCATCGGTCGCGACATTGGCACCTGCTGGACTATGTCCTCGTCCGGAGGCGAGACCATCGGGACGTGCTGGTGACAAAGGCGATTCCAGGTGCTGACGAGTGGACCGGCCATCGTCTCGTCATCTGCAGGATGCGGATTTGCCTACAGCCTCGCAGGACGCCTGCTCACCATGTCCATTTCATCAGTGAGATAGCTCAACGGCTAGCCATCCATCCAGTCGCGCCGCCGCTGCCGCTGTCACCGCTGATGTGACCGCCTCCGTTCAGAACCGCTGGTGCCAAATTCGGGACACAGACCAGTTGACGGCCCTGGCTGTCCTCGGTCGCACACGTCGCCAACACCAGGACTGCTTCGATGACAACGACGCTGTCATCAGCAGCCTGCTCACCGAGAAGAACCTACTGCACAAGGCCTACGTAAACCGCCCTACCGACGACAACAGAACTGCTTTGTACCGCAGTCGTCGCATTGTGCAACAGCGGCTACGGGAGAGGCAGGAGGCCTGGACTGCTTGGAAAACTGAAGGGATCCCGCAACAAATCTTGCAGCGATGGGCCGAACACTTCAGAGGCGTCCTCAGACGTCCCTCTGCCATCCCTGACGTCGCCATTGTCCGTCTACCCCACGTGGGGACCAATATCGACCTCGAGCTCTCGCCCTCTCTCCACGAAATCCTCAGGGTCGTGCAGCAGCTCTCCAGCGGGAAGGCGTCCGGATCGGACACGATCCCTACTGAGATCTACAAGCACATCATCCCCCAACTAATAGAACACCTGACAGCGCTCTTTCAAGAGATGTGGTGCCAAGGACGGATCCCTCAGAATTTCAAGGACGGCATCATCGTCCATCTCTAAGAGCGGAAGGGGAACCACCTAATCGGCGACAACCACAGAGACATCGCCCTCCTCAATATCGTCGGAAAGATCTCCCGCATCCTCATCAACCCTCTCCACAACCATCTGCGACAAGAACTCCTGCCAAAAAGCCAATTCGGCTTCGGCCATCGTCGTGAGACCACCGACATGATCATCGCCACCCCAAAACTTCAGGAGAAGTGCCAGGAGATGTGGATCCACCTGTACTCTACCTACGTGGATCTGGCAAAAGCCTTCGACACGGTGAATCATGAAGGACCGTGGAAAATCATGCCGAGATTCGGTTGTCCCAAGTGATTCACGCGGATGGTGTGTCAGCTTCACGACGGCATGACGGCACGCGTCACGGACAATGAGACCGTCTCAGAGGCATCCGCAATGACTAACGGAGTGAATAAGGACTGCGTCCTCGCGCCCACCCTCTTCAGTCTCATGTCCTCTAACATGCTAATGGATGCCTACCGTGGTGAACGTCCCGTGACCTGTGTCGCCTACAGGACGAACAGCCAACTCCTCAGTCATAGGCGGATGCACTTCCAGTAGCGTGTATTCACGACTGCCGTCCACGAACTTCTTTTCGCAGACAACTGGGCTCTCAACGCAATTACAGGAAGTGACACACAAAGGAGCATGAACCTCTTCGCCGCCGCCGCCTGTTACCACTTCAGCCTGATCGTCAAAACGGAGAAGACGGTAGATACGTCCCAGACGCCACCCAACGCTGCCCACAATGCACCCCAAATCAGCATGAACGGCGCCCAACTACAAGCGGTGGACAACTTCACCTATCTGCACAGCACTCTCTCCCTCTCTCGCAACGCCAAAATCCGCGATGAAGTGGCCAACCGGATTTCCAAAGTCAACCAAGCCTTGGGCTGACTGCAAAAGACAGTCTCCACCTCAACATCAAACTGAAGATGTACAAAGCGGTTATCCTGCCGATGCTGCTGTATGGAGCGGAGACTTGGACGGTATACAAGAAGCGGTCGTGAAATCTCAATCACTTTCACCTTAGCTGTCCCCGATGGATATTGAAGCCAAAGTGGCAGGACCGGATCCCGAACACGGACGTACTGGGACGGACAGGAATCCTGAGCATCCACGCCATCCTGAGACAATTGTAACAGCGCTGGAGCGGCCACCTTGTACGGATGGACGACTAGCGGCTACCCAAACGGCTCTTCTATGGAGATGTCGCTAGGGGCTCCCGCCGACAAGGAGGTCAAGTCAGGCGCTATGGGGATGCTCTGAAAACTTCGCTGAAGCGTCTGCAGATCAACCCGGCCAGCTGGGAAAACTTTGCCCAGGCCGACCGACCTGTAGGAGAACAGAAAAGGCAGGTGCAGCAGTCAACGAAACCAACCGCATCACTGCCGCCAAAGCGAAACGCGAGGCCCGCAAATCATAACTGTCCCAGCCTCAGAACGCCAACGATCAACCGCCGCCAAACTGCCCACGACGCCAGCGGACATTCCGGGCAATTGCAGCGTCCGGACGACACCACCCGATGCCTCCTCTTCCACCTTTGCCTCACACCCCACGTCAACCATTAACACTAACCACACTCCTAAATTGCCCAATGCCATCCTCCATCGTCTCAACATCTGCTGCGGCGGCGTCCGCAACCATCGCAACTGCACATAATCCTGACACATCGACAAACATCAACCTCATCATCGCAACACCGGTGATAAGGATTCGGTCCAAACCTGTGCCCACTGCGATCTCGCCTTCACCTGACAAATCGGCTTGCTCGGTCACTTGCGAATCCCTCGCACAGAGAATGGCGAACCAGTGCCTGGAGCACCCACATACACACGCCGCATCCGCCTCCACTGTCCATACAACCTCCGCACATTCACTTACCGCATGGGTCTATTCGGTCACATGTGCATTCATGAATGCCTGCGGTGGACGACCCCCGGCTACATCACACCTTCCCCCGCCAGCACCTGCACCAACGACAACACTACTCATTGCAAGCACTCGATTGTCACCTCCAACGCAAGTGGGGAGTGTGCTTCTCGACTCCCTCCCCATGCGGCTCCTCTGTTGCATGTGTGATCCGAGTCTGAGACTATCACGATGCGTCATGTGCCGCGGCTTTGAAGGCTGTCGACTGACGCTCCAACTAATTCCTCGCAGTCAGTTCAGTTGTGTGTTTGTGTGTTGAGTGGTTGACTGGTTGGTTGAGAGATAAGCTGCAATGGCTCCTTCCTAACGTGACCTACGGCACTCTCACGCATGTAAGATTCATGCCGCCCACTGCCTTTTGTGTGAAATCCCGGTGTTTATGTCCGGAAGGGCCAGGTTGTGTATGTGGCGCGTGCAAACAAGGTCACCAGCTGTGTTATCCACTGCGTCTATACCGCGCACCAGACAACTGATCGGCTCGGACAGTGGCTGGGTCCGTAAATGGAAAAAGAGAGTGAGGTCGACGACTCTGTGGATTTTTCTCAATATAAACAATCTGACGCGCTTGAAGCTATCCACGGTGCGCTAAAAGCCGTGGCTTGGAAGGTTGCCAACTGACGGGATAACTTGGACTTCCCAGTCGGCCCAGTGTTGTGTGTTTGCGTAGAGCGGCCAACTGGTGGTCCAAGAGCCAGGTTGCAACTTTTTAATGTGACCGAACTGCCAATAGTCTACCGAGAAGTAGGTGCCATCCAGTTACAGTGGAAAGTCCCGAAAGCCCAATGCTTCCTGCATATTTTGAAACACCCCCTTCATTCCTATTTGTCGTTATTTTTTTAAATTTAACAACTATGCAGCATCGTTTACGAGATAAGCAATACTGTGTCTAAAGCTGAAGAGTCTGGTGGATCAGTAGATAAGATAAAGGTGGTTACTGAGGCATTTATCCAGGACCTCCAGCACCCGGGGATCGCCTCGATTTTCCGACATGGTCATTCTACATCATATACGAATCTATGATAACATAAAATTTCAACTCATTAGCTACACCTTCTTAAAAAGACTTTTAGCGTGAAGGTGGTCATTGAGCAGAAAAAACCATGCGACAATCGAGCATTTTCCTTGCACAAATTGCAGGTTCATGTTTTTTCTTAGATAACTTACTGCACATTTGTCGCTTATCCACTTGAGCACACTTTTGGTCAATATTTGCTATTTTCTCGAAAGTAGAACAATTTGACGAGACTAGGATGTTGTGGAAAAACAAAGGTCAATCCAAATGCCGCATACATGAACCAATGGTTTGTTTGATAACAGACAATGTCTGGCGTCGTGGTTTGACGAATGTTTTACTGCAGCTCTTCGGCGTTAGCTAGGGGGCTATGTTCCAGAACAGGTATCCGAACATGACCTTACCTTTGGGTTACGACTACTTTACTTGCGAGACAGAACGCTTTTTCCAATTCTCGCAGGCAGTCTACAGCACTTTTCGCCGTCCATCTAGCTTGCTTATGAAAAGCTAGAACAAAACCTGTTTAGAGGTACGGTATACTAGTGTACGAGGATTAAATCTTCGCACATTGCCTAATAATCGGATAGCTAGTCAGAGCTTGTCACTAAGCGCGACCCGCTAGTCGAGAGCTAGGAATAAAAAAAGTTGCGATCGGCGGCGTAGAGTTGTCACAGTACGTCAAATAACTAACTATTTCACATTTAACTTGCGTATTTGAATGCTAGACAGCTCTCCCATGACTATTATGGACAGTGCATAAATGAGAGTATGCGTCATGAAGAAGGAGACACGATCGCTGGGACAAGAGCTTTATTAGCCCGACGTTTCGGATTCCTGCTCGAACCCATCATCAGAAACAAACGCAGATAGGGGTGGTTCATGCACAAGGGGCTGCAGTATTTATAGGATGCAGTCGCCATGCAACCACATACCTATGAGTACTCACTTCTCACACTCCTCCTCATCAGGGATCGTTGCACGTGGTGTGATGACTGTTTGATGGCCGATATTAGTGTCGTTAATTGCTGCAATCTCATCACGTGCGTTGGATGTTGGTGATGACTGCTCGATCATCTGACGCACCGACCCTGGTGTTGGGAAAAGTGTTCACCTGTGCGCTCCCCGCGTGGCCAATTGCTCCGCCTAGGCGAAGTCTCAGCACCGGCTATGGAAGTGGAAGATCATTGCACTTGTTAACAGACTGACGGCCAGTAAACCATGACTCAAGCAGCTCCAGGCATGCGGCCCCTTCTGCATGAACCACCCGCATCTGCTTTTGTCTCTGATGATGGGTTCGAGCAGGAATCCGAAACGTCAGGCTAATAAAGCTCTTGTCCCAGTGCTCGTGTCTCCTTCTTCAAGACTGCTTCCTGGGACTTGTCTCTTCGCTTCTACTGGCAGTATGCGCCATGTTTACTTCTTAACCAGCAATTCTCCTATACATATAGTTTATAAAACCTTGCCCTGTAGGTTCTTTCACCTGTTTAATTGTGCTTGTAAAACAGGTCACGCGGCAGATGTTCTGGACCAACACACGGCGCTACATCGGGATCCGGCAGGCGTCATTGGGAGTGGGCATCCCTAGCAAACGTCATCGTCAGGAGTGCGACGACAGGCGCGTGTGTGGGCTCACGCCGCGTTCATTTGGATCCGAGCCGCCCCTCCCCCTCCTTTTGCTTGTTGTGTAAAATCCTCGTCAGTGTACGTCGTGGACTAGGGGATGCGGTGGTGGCACATCTGCGTGTGGGTTTTCACCGTGCCATCCACCTGCGCACCTCCCGCCTCTAGTCTTCTTGACTCTGGCATGACACCAAGGTCAGATGGGGGAGGAGCGAGTGCTCTGAATGCTGCGAAAGTCTATTAGCACTATAAACTAACTCACACGCAGGTCACAGTCCTTGCTCTGATCCTTCTGTGGAGCACACGGAGGACATCATCTCAAACGACAGTCGAAATGTCATCTGTTTAATGATAAAACCGTGCTGTAACCGATAATATAAAAAAGCAACATAATTTTGAGACTGACTTTCGGTGAGTTACGAAATAGACCAATAAATAAAAATGTGGGTATTCCAATGTCCTTGATCTGTGTCGTTAACTCCTCTCGATTACGGATCTAAAGTCGGATGCCACTGTTTGTTTACATACAAAACCTAGGACTCCGAAACAAAACGGGAGTGCCTGTTTGTGGGCTGTAATTGGGATAGATCTGCGGACGTCACTCCCATGTGAAATTAAAGACCTTCTTTCAAGCATCGTTTGAAGAGCCAGCGGATGACAGGTTCGTATCCGGCAGGCTGACTGCCGCGAAGAGCGACGTCCGTTTTGGGTCCAGCAGCATAGCGGGCGCAAGTACGGTGAACTGCGCGCGAATCAGTCCATAGTGATAGTAGACTTGCGTAGCATCTACCACACACCCCTCTCTCACCCACTTGGGTACGGTGTCAGGACATAGGCCAGAAGACTTGAGATCGGATCGCGCGCAGTGACTGGCAAAGCTAAGCAGCCCGTTTACGCCTACCCCACACACACGGACGAGAAAGCGGCGCGGCTCGGATCCCAGCTGAGTGGGAGTATCACAGAGGCCACATCGGGCAGGTGTCATTGCACCATGATTCCCCACCCTGAGAAGATAGCCCAGTTATCCCATCAGTTAGCAGCCTTCCAAGCCACGGCTTTTAATACACCATAATAGTTTGAAGTTGCATCAGTTTATTTAAAGTGAGAAATATACATACGCTTGATACCATGGGGGCGCAGTAACCAGAGTTGACCATGCTCTCACTTCCATATCCGCTGTCCGAGCCGGTCAGTCGTTTGATACAGGGGTTGGGCTGGCGCGGCGTGGACTGATATAGGGGCCTTCAAAACTTCACCCTGTTAGGCTTGTTCTGGCCATTAAAGCAGAGGTTTACTATCCTTGGCTATTAATACTGGGACAGTGCGCTATTGG